AAAACACTTTCGTAACTTGAGTCTTGAAAAGTTCAAAGTCATTTCAATGTTTGAAGTTTCATCATCTTGCAAAATTTATTACATACATGTTTGTCTACAAAACTTTCTATGCTTATAGTTGAAAGGTTTCCAGCACAAAAATATACCTCGTGTGATGTGTCGTTTGTCGCCATAAGGTCAGTAGTCACAATTTCAGGGTCATACAGTTTATACCCTGAACCTTGGATATCTAAGACCATCAATCTCTTCACAGAATACATGTAGGTGAAATGAACTAGGCACTGGGCTTTCTGGAAGATCTCATCAGATTCTATATCATCAGGTTCAATTATGTCTCCATCATTGTTAATGTACTTAGAGAAGACACCTGGTACATATTCTTCAACAGTAACCGGACATTCATTCCAATGGGAATAAAACACTTTGCCATACTGGAAAGTTTCTCCAAACTCCTCTGGTACTTTAGCAGAAAAACGTGCCGTCAAATTCCGTGCAACAGCATGCATTTGCACCTGCTTTCTTGTGTGGTCTTCCACAGTCATTTGTAGTTGTTCCTGTATGGTGGTAATTGCTTCATCTCTGTATTTCTTTATTACCCACTCACCTACCAGGCTAGATGATTTATCTGTGCATTTGGCTCGGAATGCATCTCTGAAGGCACCACTGTCAAACTTGGTTTCCTCTATTTCAACAGACAAAGTCAAGGGAGTTTTTATCCACTCGCATTTTTCTACATCAAACATTTCCAAACTGAGAGTTGTTAACTGTGGAGGTCGTACCAACTTTCCTGCCCGAAGTAAATCCCCAATGGATACTGATTTTGGATAAACTGTTCTGGCCAATTTGGGGCTTGGCGTTTCAGGATGGTGGCCGTCGATTTCTCCAATCTTTGATGGTGAAATTGGCGCGGAATTTGACCCCTGAACTCTAGACTGTTGTGACCTATCATGCTCGGCAGGTGGTAAAAAACGGATAAAGTACACCTTTTTCCCCTTGATTTGTTCCATTTTTGTACACGAAGGTCCTCTGTCCGAGGCAAGAATATCACACGATCCTGCCGGTGCGCTATAGAATTGTTCACAAGCATCTTTAATATTCTCTATTGACAGCTCTTCATAATCTGAAAATGGAACAAAATCTCTAGTATCCAATGGCTCGTATTTTTTCAATCTTCCACTGGGAGTAGTCGACATCCTCTGTACCAATATATCGTTTGGGATTTTACCAAGCGCTCTTTTTTCTGGCGCACGATTTCGATCTTCTTCGCCACTTCGCTTTAATCCAACTCTTCTTTCAAACTCTTCCCAACTTTCTTTACCTTTTCTTCGTTTCATTACAAAAGTATGTGTGATATATACCTTTTTCCTGTGTGCTATTAAATGCAATCTTTCAAATACTGTAAGTAGACAATAATCAAAATGGCGTAACTGTTTGGAAGTGGAATGGCGGGAAATTAAATTAGAACCCAGTCTTTACGGAGTGAATTGATAACGCTGGGCCGTTCGAAAAAAAAAATCGAAAAATCGAACGGGCTGACGGCCCAGCGTTATCAATTAAATTTTAATTTATTTCTTTAAACTGTTGCATTTTTAATATTTTTTTGAAAATTTAAAATAATAAATAATTTGAATTACAACATAATTAATATTATTATACATTTGTAAATAATTTTTTTCTCAAATCGAAATAATAATCAATTCCAATTTGTCATACATATTCAAGTTATTTTCAATTTTATAAAGAAAACAATAATTAAAATAACATAAAATGTGCAAAATATTCCTGAAAATAGCGGTGATAATGATGGGCCACCATACTATTCTGCCCCATCTGTTGACAATATAACTTGGGAGTTTCTTTAAAATCTTTTGATTTTCTTCAGGATCGTCCAAGACGCTTAGGTACTGAATATGTCCCATGGCAGTACAGCAGTGTTGAAGGAAGTCGGAAAATTTTCTAAGACTAGCACCGTCGTTCGCTGGTATCTTTGGCCATTCGTCTATTTTCTTCCTATACGCATTAGAGACTAGAAAGGGATTTCCGAATCGACAAGAGAGAATCTTCTTCGCTTTTGTATACGCTTTTCAGTGTTCAGCGGTAGGAGTCCGTTTATTGCCTCTCTGGCTTCGCCGGAAGTGAACCTTCCGAGATAAAACAGCCTTTCCGAGGGATCAGTTGTTTTTCTTTTTATAAACGTCTCGAATGACTTCACCCAAGTTGGATAGCGCAACAGATAACCATGAAATACTTCGGATTCTGGACGAGGTAGAGAGTCGTGATTATTTCGCTGACTAAGAAGGTGGACAAGTCTTGTCAGAACACCTTGCATCGGAGGTAAGTTGCTGAGGAACAATAGTGACGTTACTAGTATTGTGATGAGGATCATGATCGAATTCAGTGGGAGTACGTTGAAGGGTTGGGTTGGAAATTGCGTTAGTTGCTTGTTGCACTGTTCCAGGAGGGGTGGGAACAAAGGGTTTTGTTTCTGGATTTAAATTACCTTGGTTGAGTGCAGGAACTGAAACCTGTGGAGCTGGATCATCGATTTTGGGAGGAGACAAATTAGTTTCCATAACAACGGGTATGTTCTCAGCTTCAATTTGATTTTGGAGATATACCTGGACACGTTCGTGTGAGCTCACAGCTGATTCTAAAAGTCTTTCATTGTTCGACGCTAAATCAAAGTCATGCTGTTCGTCTAATTTTGTTACTGCCTCGATGTCTGTTTGGTTTGTAGCTATTTCTTTCATGAGTTGGATTTGTTTTAATTCTGCTGCCTTCTCTTGTTCAATTTTAAGAAACTTAAGTTCAGTCTCCAGTCTAGCAGCCTTTACATACAACATACATACAAAACTTTATTTAAACCACGCTAGCCTTAACAGCCGTTGGAAGGCTGGTTTCCATGAGGGGCGTGAAATTACCTATTTACAAAAAGTTAACTATATACAGGAAATACAAAATATAACAAAATAAATAAATACAATTGAAATATAATTTCAACTCATTCTTTGTTTCAATATCGACTTGAAAGAGCTTTGGGATTCAGCAATTTTTGCCTCATGGGGAAGATTATTCCAATGCAAGGCACCATTATAGCTGAAGCACCTCTTGCCGAATTCTTTTTTCGGCGTAGATGGTGCTAAATCAGTATCCCTATTTCTAAGATTGTAACTATTATGTCTTTCATTATTAAAATGAAATGCTTCTTTAAGATTGGGTGCGGTGTGGCCATTCAGAACTTTATAGACGAAAATAGCTTATTATTAATTAAAATAGGATTACCAGATACTTTATTCTTAAGGTTATAGGGAGATCCAATGAACTTATGTTTCGATTTACTGGGGTGGATTTGAAATTTATTTTGTATCATCCATTTGCGAATGTTTTCGAGATCAATATTTACCTTGTCGATAAGGTCGGCGCAGTCATTAGAAGATGGATTCATCAGCATAGAGTGAAGGAGTTAAGTGATTTAACGAGTCAGACATATCATTTATGTATAATAAAAATAATAGAGGACCAAGGATGGACCCCTGTGGAACTCCGAATATTATCTTTTTTGGGCTCGATAGTTGTCCGTTTATAAGACATTGTTGAACTCTGTTATTCAGGTATGATTCGAACCATCTTAGTTGGTTTCCTGTTACTCCGAAAAAATTACGCATTTTATCAATCAAAATTTCATGATTTATGGAGTCGAAGGCTTTTCTAACATCAAGAAAGACTACACAATTTATTTGACCACTATCCATGTTTTTAAGTAAATTATCACACATTTGTATCAACGGAGACAGGGTTGAGTGTTTAGGTCTAAACCTGAAACCTAGGTATAAACCCTTTTCGCCACAGAAGACTAGCTGGAGGCGCGTGAGCTCTTGCTACGGCCTGAGATAATGGAACTGTGTTCGTCTCGTTCGCTACGGATTTCTAAGATTTTACTGTTAAGCGCCTTAAATATTTCTCTGTATTCCTTGTACCATGCATCATGACGCTTTGTAAATTCGTCTATTTCGGCTGTACTCAAAAGATTGACTAAATTGTCATGAGCTACGGTTAAACTGCTCATTCCTGCTTCCAAGGCATTTCGCCTTTGCTGTAAAATTGAGATATCTGATGTATCTGCAAGTGCTGACTCAGCATTTTCGAGTTCTTTTCGCCAAAGTTTAAAGGTTCGAGTAAGTTCCCTTTGCATTAGGTCCTTACGATACCCCTTACCCTTCTCTGTTAATACCCTGAGGCGTTCGATAGATTGTTGTTGCGGTTCATCTTGGTTTAATTCCTCGCGCGAAGCTCGGTCATATATAATTATGCAATAAACTGTCACGAAACTCGGACTCTATTTCATCAACAGTTTTATCGGCCATGACGGTTAACTACACTTCGAGAAAGTTCGTTTAATGTTACATTTGATTTAGCACAATTCGATTTTTATTTGGGAGAGTTTTTACTGTAACGGTTGCTTGGATTGGTTTATAAACGGGGGTTTTACTGAGCCGATATTCGTGACACACACGATACAATACAAATAATATAAACTTTAATGATAAAATCAGCACGTAAAAACTACAAGAAATAAGACACAATAAACTAAATTACATTATAAAAATACACACACTTAGACTAAAAACAAGTAAACTATGACCCTAAACGTTCAACGTACCTCTTTCCCAACTTTACTACGACATGAACGATCGAGATTCGAGATACAGTTTTTCAATACGTATACAGTAAACAACGTGGCGATAATTATTTATGTGTTTCGCGCCAAACGGCATAATTAAGATAAATTACGAAGATTACGTCACCTGTTCTGTACCATTTTTATTTACTCTATGCACTTTTGGAGTCAATTTGACTCCTCGAAATTAACAGTGTATCTTTCGAAAAACGCAGGGAATAATGGGTTAAAAATATGTCATGCATGGAAGGCACAATACAAACAAACGCGATGAATGCAATCAGAATGATTCTTTTTAAAAAGTGCTTTTTCTTAAGGATCCTTATTTCTTGTACGCGACTCTCAGTTGAATTTTGTAAAGCAATGTTCTTCGATTCAAAGGATCCTTGCAGATAAATGCAATGAGAAGTAATACATTTGAAGTAGCTCCTGGAAAAGCGATTGTATATATAATATGCAGGTCAATAGACGTCCTTGAATTCGATGGTGAATCTAGTAATATTACTCTCTGCCATAATTTGTTGGCTATTTCGAATAACGAGTCAAGTTAAGGTTACTTCACACGATGAACATGCTGCGTTTTATTCTATTGGACATTGCGCAACGAATTGTAGCTGTAACTTTACCAAATTTTCAGTGAAGAATTTTCGAAAATTCACATTTGATGGGTTGTCAGTTTAATTAAACATTTTCAGTATTGGCTGACTGAATAAATATATAGGTACCTTCATAAAAATTTATCTTCTTTAGTGGTTTTTCTGATATGCCCTGATTATTGAATTTGTCACTGATAATTCACGAAGTTGTCAAAGAGAACGTCATATCAGAAAAACCATTGAAGAAGAGAAATTTTCCGCGCACGTTTTTTTTTACTGTACCTATGAAGATTCAAATTGAGATATGTAGACAAACGTTGAGGTAAACTATAAACATATTTTGATTTTTTAAGGGATACCTATATATTCCTTTAGTCAGTCAATATTGGACATGTTTAAACAGAACACCCATATATCATATGAAGATTTTCCAAATCAGCATTTTCTTGGCTTTCTTCACTAAAAATTTGGTAAAGTTAGATTAAATTCTTTGCGCCATGTATGTTCAATAGACTAAACGCACGTTCATCATGTGAAGTAACCTTAAAGTTTTCAGGTAAATATTAAAATATTTATCAAGTTTATATATTGATTGTGTTTTATAAATTTAATTAAACTTTCATTTCAAACACATAAACGTTTAATTATGGAAATTTTATATCTGCCAAACTTCAGTCAGATTGATATTGAGCTTTTCCCGTAGTAAGAAACTGCTCTCCAAGTATAGTCTTCTAAATATAATAATATTATATGTGGACTAAGTTCGATTATAACGAAACTATTTTTAAAACGTTGGAAGGAATAGCATGCATGTGTGTTCTAAATTCGCTGCTATGTTTTAGAATTTGTTCAAAGCCATTTTTAATGCAAAATGTTTTCTTGTCAATATTTTTTATCATGTTATTAATTAAGCATGTTTATAAAGATTATTTGAGTTCCTTTATTAATTTTTTTAATTGTTATGCATTATGAATTTACTTCCTCTAGAGCAATAATTCTCGAGCAATTTCAAAAATGCGCCGATACATTATATTTTTAAAACTCCATCTGCACTCTTCCAATTTACTCGTGCGCATTATTCTCGGAATAGTTCTTGAAACTATTCGATTTAGTATCAATCATGTACCTATATGTTAATGATTTTAATATTCTTAATTTTCGTTTATTACTTTTATGTTATAAGATATTAATAACTTTTCATGTATTTTTTTATGGTCTGTTTTCATTTAATATTTTTATTACTAGGTTACCCACAGGGCAGTAATGCTGCCTTTGACAGCAAAAGACAAACTACAGGGTGTTGAACGAGTCCTTCAGAAACATCCTATTATTGTTTAGCCTGCATGGCAGGCGGTTCCTAAAATTGGGCAAGCCTGGGAAATACCGCCTGCCATGCAGGCTAATTATTGTTATCCTTGTTAACCCATTTATTGACAGTACCCTACCACTGACTGAGTATTAAAAATCGTCTGGCGTTGGACAGGGTAAATACTAAAGTAGGGGTCATTACTGTGCTGATGAATTAACAAGAGCCATTGGCAGATAGGTTTGTTAACCCATTTACTGGCAGTACCCTATACCACTGACGAGTAAAATCTTCTGGCGCTCGACAAGGGAAGGGCGCATTGCCAGCTAATGGGTTAAACCACCGTGGTTAAACATAAGATTTCATGATGCTCCAGGAAATGTAAACAAGCTATCAGTGTGACATCCCAGTTTATATATTTATATACTCGGAATATTGATTTCTCGGTACATACAAAATTATTTTAAAGTATAACAACCAGCGAAGACGTAAGGCACTAACCACCCTGCGCGGCTGCGCGCAGACTATATAACGACATATATATGTCATCCGTCCGGTCCGTCCGTCATTCATCCGTCCGTCCGTATCCGCGTTTTATCCTAACCCGTTTTTAAAACACAAAGTTTGCATTTAATTAAGGCAGTGCGGTTCGTCATGATCAACATTTTCAAAAGCGGCCAATTAGACCAGGGGTTAAAGGGCAATGACAATGACATGCAGGTGACATTTAACATTGCGTCTCACTAATTAAAATTTGCGTGTTTAATAGTGTTTATCAAAGAAAGCAAAAATATATACAAGACAATCTCACATGTGGAGTTTTTTCACTTACAGTACGTACTGCCTTGTGATGCAGTACAAGTATAAATACAAATGACAAAGCATTTGTAAATCCTAAAACATAATTAAATCATACGGTACATTTAAGATTTTAATATCGTATTTCAGCCGCGTTTACACTGTTTGGCGCATTCGCTGCGTTATATTCATTTACAATTTTACATGTATATACACAGAAAAGCATGTCATTGTCCTTGCAGACCATAGGCAAAAAGCATTTGTCAACCATGCACATACAAAATTTAAGCAATCGTTAAATCATATATATGTCATGGAAAGAATATGGAAATAATGTTGAATGAAAGCTAGCATCGCGTATAATATTAAAAGCACCGCATATAGTGCTCGAACCACTGCGTATAATTGCAAAAGCATCGCGTATATAAATGGTGAAAGCACCGCGTATAATACTGGAACCACCGCGTATAATGGCGAAAGCACCGTGTATAATGCCAAAAGCACCGCCGTATAATGCTAAAAGCACCCAACAAAATGCCGTTTGATAACTTTAAGCCAGCTATGGCTTTCCATAAAAGGAGACCAAAGATGAAACATGATCACATTGCCTGTTTGCCTTATGCCTGACCGCGCTGCACCACGGTTAAAATTCACTGGTACCGTCATGCAATGCGCCAAATAGAAAATTTTGATTTCGACCCACAAAACAAAATTAGGATCTGCTGCCTTGCTCGCTCGCTTCAGGCTCGCTCGCTGCGGCAGCAATAATTATAATTATATAAGTCTTTGAATCTGCTATTTGCAGTTGTAAATAACTTGAGAAAAAGAGGCGAAAACCGGTGCATGGTATTTTAGAGACTATTTTCCCCGAGCCGACGGCGCGAAGCGTCGTACGAGGGTACTAATTCCCCCTGGCTATTTACACCCGGGTAAACGAAAGCATTAGCGAAGTCTAAAGTTCATCAATGATCGCGGGCGTGGATCACCAACGAAGTTTCGGTGGGGGGTCATCCTCACTGATCTCAAAAATATGGCGGGCTGTCATGAATAGCGGACACTGATTGGTCCCATTTAAAGTTTAACTATAACGACTGCATGACGACAGCGAAATAACAAATTAAACATTTCTTGATATCCAGCTGATCTCGTGTTCGTATTTTAGCCAATCAGCGCTCAGAAAGGGTTATCCAAATAGAAATCCATTTTGATGTTTCAGTCAATTATATCTTTCGTTATTCTTTATGAAACTAGTTGAAATTTTGTAATTATGTTTGGTTATGAGAACTATAGCTCTGACAAAAATATGGAATCGAAATAAAGTGTATTACAGGAGATGTTCAGTTGTTTTAATCATAAAATGGATTTCTATTTGACAACTAGTGCCAGTACTTTTCCGCGTACCAAAATCACCTGGATGATGATTGATAAATTTCTTGCAAATATATATTTCATTTTTGCTCGCATTTTTGCAAGATTTTGTAAATTTCAAAAGCTTTCTCAGAAAGAATGGGCGAAAGAATCGGCTAAACAAAGGGAGGCGACGTTAACCAAGGTAATTAAGTTTGTTTTAAATATTGAATTTATAATTGCTTTAAAACCCGACGGTCTTTGCGTTTATGAAGCAACTAAACAAGACAGCATATAATTTCAGTGTATCTTTGATATTGATTCCCTTTTTTATTATTTTATGTTATTTGCATGCGAGAATTTGAAATCATTTTTTGGCAAACTCAAAGTTTATCGATAAAGCCATTTAATAAAAGGCAGTTTAGTTTTATAAAGAACACTTTAAAACGTTTTTCGAAGCGTTTGTGGTTGAATTTTACATTAAATTGAAGCTTATGTTACGTATAA